AGAGGCCTCACTTTTGGCCTGTCTCGCTTTTCTTTTCTTTTTAAATATTTTATTTGAGAGAGAGAGAGAATGAACAGGGGAGGAGTAGAGGGAGAGGGAGAAGCAGGCTTCCCACCGAGCAGGGAGCCCGATGCGGGGCTCGATCCCAGGACCCCGGGATCATGACCTGAGCTGAAGGCTGACGCTTAACTGACTGAGCCACCCAGGCGCCCCCGTCTTGGTTTTCAACATGCCTTCCTCACTGAGCTTAATCATTTCTAGCTTTGATTTTTTTTTTAAAGATTTTATTTATTTATTTGAGAGAGAGAATGAGAGATAGAGAGCATGAGAGGGAAGAGGGTCAGAGGGAGAGGCAGACTCCCTGCTGAGCAGGGAGCCCGATGCGGGACTCGATCCCGGGACTCCAGGATCATGACCCGAGCTGAAGGCAGTCGCTCAACCAACTGAGCCACCCAGGCGCCCTCTAGCTTTGATTTAAAGTGAGAAGTGTGTGGAGTGCCTGGCTGGCTGGCTCAGTCGATAGACTGCGTGACTCTTGAGTTTAGGCCCCACGTTGGGCATGGAGCCTACTTTACAAGAAAGAAAGAGAGAGAGAGAGAGAGAAAGAGGAGAGAGAGAAAGAGAAAGAAAGGAAGGAAGGAAGAAGAAAGAGAAAGAAAGAAAATAGAGAGATGGGTGACTCTTCCTTTCACTTGAACACTTAGAGGCCGTTGTAAGGGTATTGATTGGCCCAATTTCAATACTGTTGTGTCTCAGGGAATAGGGAGGCCTGAGGAAGGGGAGAGAGACAGGGGACCTGCTGGTCAGTGGAACAGAACACACACAACACTTCCCTGTTAAGTTTGCTATCTTAAATGTGCGCAGGGTACTGGTGCCCCAAAACAATTATAATTGTAATCTCAAAGATCACTGATCACAGATCACCGTAACAAATATAATAGCGAAAAACTTTGAAATATTGCAACAATTACCACAGTGTGACACAGAGACACAAAGTGAGCAAATGCTGGTGGAGAAATGTAGATGTGCTTGGTGCAGGGTGGCCATAGACTTTCAATTTGTAAAAAATGTAATGTGTGCAAAGCACAATAAAGCCATTTGCTATAAACTGAGATATGCCTATATTTGGTGTGAAGAAAGAGTTTAACTTTATTCTTTTAGACATGGCTATCAAGTTTTTGTAGAATTACTTGAAGAGGGCGCCTGGGTGGCTCAGTCGTTGGGCGTCTGCCTTCGGCTCAGGTTATGATCCCGGGATCCTGGGATCGAGCCCCGCATTGGGCTCCCTGCTCGGCGGGAAGCCTGCTTCGCCCTCTCCCACTCCCCCTGCTTGTGTTCCTGCTCTCGCTGTCTCTCTCTCTCTCTCTCTCTCTGTCAAATAAATAAATAAATAATCTTTAAAAAAAGAAAAAGAATTACTTGAAGAAAAGATGATCCTCTCTCTGTTGAATCACCTTGGCTTCTCTGTTGAAGATCCATTGATTGAGGGGCGCCTGGCTGGCTCCATTGGAAAAGCATGCGACTCTTGATCTCAGGGTTGTGAATTTGAGCCCCACGTTGGGTGTATAGTTCACTTAATTACAAATAAATTTTTTTAAAAATCCGTTGATTGTACCTGTGTGAGGGCATCATTTTGGAATCTGTTCTGTTTCCTTCATCTGTGTGTCAGTGTCAGTGTCATGCTGTCTGGTTCCTGTAGCTTAACTATAGATCATGAAGTCAGGAAGTGTTAGTCTTACTTCGTTCTTTTTCAGTTTTTTTTAGCTATCCTAGGCCTAGGTTGTCCACATTTCCATGAGTTCTAGAATCAGTTTGTCCTTTTTTTTTTTTTCTTGGAGAGAGAGCATGGGGTCGGGGGAGGTACAGAGGCAGAGAGAATCTCAAGTAGACTCCACACTGAGCGTGGAGCCCAATGCGGGGCTCTCTCCCAACCTTGAGACATGACCTGAGCTGAAGTCAAGAGTTGGACACTTGAGGCTATGCAGTCAGCATGGAGTCTGCTTGGGATTCTCTCTCCCTCTCCCTCTGCCCCTCTCGCTGTGCTCCCCCCCCCAAATAAATTTTAAAAATTAAAAAAAGAAAAGAGTTGGATGCTTAACCTACTGAGCCACCCAGGTGCCCCAGTTCATCATTTTCTGGAGAAGAGTCTTCTGGGGTTTTGTATGTAGGAATTGTGGAGAGTCTAAATCAGTTTAGGAACTGAGATCTAACAATATCAGCTTCTCTGATCTGGGAATGTGCCTTTGTCTCCATTTCTTTGCTTCCTCATTTCTGTCAGCAGCGTTTCTAGTTGTCAGCCTACAGGTTTTGTGCTATTTCCTATTAGTAAGATGTCATTGATATATGACCTTCTAGTTTCAGGTGTACAGTGTAATGATTTGATGGGTATGTATTGGGAAATGACCAGTAAAATGGATCTGGTTAACATCTATCACCACATGGAGTGACAAATTGTTTTCTTTTTTTTTAAGATTTTATTTATTTATTTATTTAAAAGATTTTATTTATTTATTTGACAGAGAGAGAGACAGCGAGAGAGGGAACACAAGCAGGGGGAGTAGGAGACGGAGAAGCAGGCTTCCCGCTGGGCAGGGAGCCCGATGCGGGGCTCGATCCCAGGACCCTGGGATCATGACCTGAGCCGAAGGCAGATGCTTAACCAACTGAGCCACCCAGGCACCCTATGATGATAACTTTTAAACTCTTCTCTTAGGAATGTTCAAATATATGCTCCATTATTATTACCTAGAGTCACATTGCTGTACGCTACTTATTTTATAACTTGAATTAGGTTCTCTACTTTTGTCAACTATATCCCTACTTAGCTTTTATTTCAGTGTTATTGTAAATGGTATTTTTATTTTTTTTAATACTCATCTATTTATTTTAGAGTGTGCACGAATGGGGGGGAGGGGTAGAGGTAGAGGGAGAGCATCCACAAGCAGACTCCCTGCTGAGCATGGAGCCCAACGAGGGCTCAACCCCAGGAACCCAAGATGATGACCTGAGCTGAAACCAAGAGTCGGCCGCTTAACCACCTGTCTCCTGTAACATTGGTAATAAACTCACTTAATTGGACAGAGTCACTTTTTTGTAGATTCCTTATGATTTTCCATATAGAAGACCATGTCATCGGACAGTACAATTTTTTTAAGTAATCTCTACACCCAGTGTGGGGCTTGAACTCACAACCCCAAGATTAAAAGTCACACACTCCACCAACTGAGCCAGCCAGGAGCCCATGACAGTACAATTTTACCAGTTCTTTTTCCATCCTTATGCCTTTTACTTCGTTTTCCTGCCTATTACACTGGCTATGGCCTCCAGTACAGGATTGAATAGGAGTGGTTATATCAGTATGTTCTTGTAGGTTTGGGGTTTTATTAAAGATTTTTTCATGTTTGGATATTGATCCGCTAGGGTGGTGGTGTCAACTCTAGCTAAAATTTAGAATCACCTGGGGAGTTTTTGTGTTGTTTTTTTTTTTAAAAGATCTTATTTGAGAGCGAGTGAGAGAGCACAAGCAGGGGGAGCAGCAGAGGGAGAGGGAGAAGCAGACTCCCTGCTGAGCAGGGAGCCCAATGTGGGGCTCAATCCCAGGACCCCGGGATCATGACCTGAGCCAGAGGCAGATGCTTAACCCACTGAGGTGCCTGGGCGCCCCCACCTGGGAGCTCATAAAACTACTGATGCCTTCAGTCTGGGTGTGGGCATTACTTTCTGAAGCTCCTCTGGTACTTGTCAGGTGTGGTCAGAGTAGGGGTGCAGGGGCGCCATCACCTTTCACCTTAACACCGAGGCCCGGGCTTGTCTGATCTCTGAGCTTCCCTTCCGTTCACCTCCTGCAGTGCCATCCTCTTGACGCGTCCTCACCCCTCTGGGAGAACTTTTGGCCTTACCATGTGTGTTACAGTCTTTTGGGGTGACCTTGTTTGCTTCGCTTGTCCCTGCAGCATGGGTTGTGCGGCAGGTTATCCGGCTGGTTCCACCTGGGGTGCCGCCTTCTCACCCCCACCCTGGGTGGGGGTCTTCCTGTGCGAGAAGCCTGCCCTGCCTGCTCTCCCCCTTGGGCAGGTCCGGGTGGGCTCCAAAGCTGCAGGCACCCTCGCCGTGACCCTGTGGTGGCCCACCCTTCCTGTCCTTGGAGGATTCCCTGTTTTGATCTACACTGGCTTTTGTCAAACTCTGCCCTTCTTTTTCCATTGTTCAGTGTACTGATTGCTGCCTCTGTCACCGCTTCTGCCTTTCTTAGACTTATTTTATTCCTTTTCTAGCTTTATAGGAATCTCGGCTCGTTTCTCTTCATTCTCAAAAACTTCAGCGCACCTTAATGGGGCCGCATAGACTTTGCTTTGTGTTTACTTTATCCTGGTCGTTTTGATGTGTTATATGTTGGTTTGATACCCATTTTGAGCCATAAGTTGCTTAGGAGAAAGTTCAGATGTTCCCAGGTGGTTGCAGAATTGTCTTCTTTGTTCCTACTTTTTTGTCTTTGACAGGTTTTATTGTACTGTGGTCGGAAGGTAAGGTTCTCTACCTTCACTAGTGTTTGGAAATTGAAGTTTTATTTGAGGCTAAAATAGGTCAGTTTTGGCAAGTGTTTTATTGGCTCATTCGCAGGGCTGGAGTCCAGTGTGTATCTCCGAGGGGCGTTTAACACTGCACAGCCCCATGTGATTCCTTCCACAGTAATGTGCTGTATCCCCACTTGTGACTTCTTCTCTAGCTGGCCCTTGGCCTTATCTGTGGGAGAAATGCCACAGCTCCAGCCTGCTAGTTCTTTCTTACTCTTTGACTGTTAGCTCTTCTAGATTCACTAGAAACCACAGGTAGGTTCCTGAGTTCTTAAATATCTTTGGGATAGAAAGAGACTGTTCTCAAGTCCTTTGGCAAATGGGACTTCAGCCATTTTTGTCCCCTGATGGAATGGTGCTTGTATGTGTACATATGTTATTTTCTGCATGCATATTCATTTACTTTATTTATTTTATTAAATTAAGGCGTCACTGTTTGCCTGATCGAAGTCCTCGTTTAACAACTATGGAAACGGAACAAGAGAAAGCCAACATGAGTAAGGCAGTGAGTGCAGATTCGGCCTCGTACCGCTGCTCCGCCTGCCACGGGGACGAGGACTGGGGGCCCAACCACCCCATCCGGGGGCGGGCCAAGTCCCGCAGCCTGTCTGCCTCGCCCGCCCTGGCGAGCACCAAAGAGTTCAGGTACGAAAGCCCTCCTCCAAGCACCGCCCTCACCTGCACACTCTGACTGCTCCAAACTGCGACCAAGGGTTCTTTAAGGCCTTGGTACTGGTGTGTGTAAATACTGATTCACGCCGTGGGTGTCCAGACGGTGGGGTGGGGCTGAGTCCCAGGAGCACAGGACAGACGCCCGCCTGGCACGTCCCCCCAGATGGTACCAGCGCAGGGTGATTTTCCTTTTCTCTCCTCAGCCAGTGCCCACTCTAACTTTTGGTGTTTGAGGTGTGTGGGTGGTGCCTGAAGGCACGTCAGCGGGACCCACGTGGTGACGGGGCTGGCGGAGGGCTGAGTGTGGCCGCAGGGGTGTTGGGCAAGCACCCTCCCCCGACCCGGCCTGCCCTCTGCCGCGCCCCGCAGTGCGTGTGCTTGCACAATGCGCTTGAGTAACAGCGCATAGAGCTGCCCATGCAGCGGCCTGCCGGGCAGCGTTGTGATGGCACCTGTCGACGCTGCCCTGGCTTCTGGAACGGTAACTGCGGTGAGTTTTGGGTAGAAGCTGCCAGAGCCGGCCCCGCTTCTCAAGCAGGGCTCACGTCCCTCAAACGCAAGGGGAAGTTTTCAGTAAAAAGCGTGTACCCCTCTCAGTGGGGGAGGGCGGAGCGGGCACGGGGCGGGGGCAGTTTTCTGTGTGGAAAGCTCTAAGGCGCACGGCGGGGAGCAGTGGCCACGGCCGGGGGCTGGGGGCCGTGCTGCCGGCAGCACCGCTTCTGCTTGCGGGTTCTGGGGGTTCGGCACAGGCCCTTTCTGGTTCCGAGGCTGTGGGACGTGGTGTGGTGACAGCAGGCCAGAGGGAGCCTCCGCGTGGGGTGCTGGCGGAGGAGGAAGACAGGCGAGCGTCCGGTCACAGCGGTCCTTGAGCGCCGAGCGCTAACCGTGCGTGCCCGCTGCTGAGGCCCGCCGGGAGCCGCCTCTCCTCCGGGCACTCGCGGGGCCGTGAGGTGCGGTCTTTAACCCGACCCCGGGCTCTCTCTCGGTCTGTTGCCCTCTGTAAGACAGCTAGAAAATCTGTTTTGTCTGCGTTGAATTTGAAGATTTTGTTGACACCACGAGACAGTTGAAGATGAAGTCAGCTCCATTTGGCCATCTTTGGGTGCAGAAAGGGACGGTGAGGCCGTTGGGGTTGGACGCATCCCATAACCCTGTCACTGTGGGGGTGTCCTCGGCGCTCCCTCGAGCATGTGCCAGAGCGGGCGTTGGGCCCTCACGGACAGGAAGGCGGGCAGGGCAGCCAGGTGGTGTTGGCCCCGCAGCGTGCGCTGGCCGCAGCCCCTTCATTTGGTGATTCAGTTATGGCTGAGTCACTTTTCAGTTACTGGAGAAGTTGGGTCATTGAAGTACTATCTTTTTTAGTGACTATGCAACTCAGCATGAGCAGTTTGGTTAGAATTTTCATCTAGGTAATTTAGGGTTGGTCTCTAAGGTCTTAATTCCCAAGTATAAGCCGGGGGACTGGTCCCCAGACAGACTTGATCAGAGAGACTGCTCAGATTCAGATTTCCAGGCCTGTCCCCAGAGGTGGTCTTCCCTTTTTTTGGGGTGGGGCCTGGGCACCTGCCCGGTTTGGGGTCCTTTCTCTAAGGAACTCTCTCTAATTGCTGATGCTGCACAGTGGGTGGTGTAGCTCTGTGGGCCAGGGCGGGGTCTCCTGGGGCCATCACGTGGGTACTGGGCCGATGATGGACGGAAGGTTATTACGATTAAAAGCCTTTCTGAGGGTCTAACAGTCTGTACCTAGGTCTGCTCACCCACTGTGTCCCCTCTCCCCACAGGAGGACTCGCTCTCTGCATGGGCCATGCCCGGTGACCACGTTTGGACCAAAGGCCTGTGTGCTGCAGAACCCCCAGACCATCATGTGAGTGCTGGGGGTGGGGGGCACTCCTTGGGCGTGTGTGCTGTTGTGGGATCGCGGTGCTGTGGAATGTTCTGACTCGGGGTGAGAAGTTCACTTTTCAAGTCAGCAGAAGCCACAGGGCATCTCCACCGGCTCCAGCGAGCACGGGGCTCACTGCTCTCCAGAAAGCGGATGGGGGTTGGGCCAGGCACCATCTTTAGAGTTAGTTTTGTTTTTACGGTAAAAAGTCTAGGAGGAAACCAGTGTATTTCACACAATACGCTGGGTGGGTCAGACTTGCTTCTCCTTTAATTATTATTATTATTTTCATTTATTTATTTATTTATTTATTTTTGAGAAAGAGAGAGAGCACAAGCAGGGGGAGCACCAGAGGGAGAGGGAAAAGCAGGCTCCCCACTGAGCAGGGAGCCGGATGCAGGACTTGATCCCAGGACCTGAGCCAAAGGCAGACAGACGCTTAACTGACCGAGCCACCCATGCGTCCTCCTTTAATTATTCTTAATTAATTCTACAGAGACATCATTTGGCTATTTTGAAACCCTGCTTTTACTTTTGAGAGACACCCCTCCTTGCAGGTGCGGCTGTTACAAGTGCTACCAGACCCCCAGTGCATCTTTGGGGGCCACGCAGTGCCTGGATGAGAAACTGTAAAAACTTAAGCGATCAGGGTTATTTCTCTGGACTCTCAGTGACTCTCCGCTTCTCCCGTCCGAAGAGTCACTAGGTGGTTCCAGAGGGGTGGGAGCTCTGTAAAGGGCTCTGTGCGGTGCTCTGGGTGTGCTTTATGTCTTAGGAAAACACACTGACATCACTTACTTGATGTTGGCGCTTTCTGTTAAACAGTCAGAATTCCATCCCACCCTGAGCCTTGTGCCTGGCATCTCGCGCCGAGCTCCCCACCCTCCCTGTAGTCTAGGCCTTTCGAGGAGCCCCCACAGGGTCCTCTCCTTCAGGGCACGCTGTGGGGGTCCCACATTTTGCACAGCGGTGAGGGCCACGGGCTCCGGTGTGCTTCCTCAACTGACTGCCTGGGGGTCCTTGCTCTCTCTGAGGCGGCCCCAGCAGTGGGGACCCCAGGCCGCAGGTCACGGCCTGTCTGAACAGGTTCCAGGCCATCAGCACAGTCCTGCCACCTCCAGGCAGCCCAGGCAATTGATGTACAAACTGGGACGTCTGTGACTATGAAACCCAGTGACATGGCTGCCCTGCCTCTTAGGGGCGCAGGGGGCTGGGCCTGGCGCAGGAATGAAGTCCTAGTGTCTCTGCTGGTTCCACATGCTGTCTGCGCTGCTGGTTACTGCGCCAAGGGCAGGCCCTGTCCGGACGCAGCCCCTCTAGTACCCCACAGCCTGGCCTGCTCAGCAGCCACATTGGTAACCTGGCCCACCCAGGCGCCCCCATACCCGACCCCTGCCCTCTCCCATGCTGCGTGCCTTCCTGTTTGCTCTGGCCCAGCCTGGCCCTGCCTAAGGGCCCCTCCCTGGGCTTCCTGGTCTTGGCAGAGCTATTCTCTCCTTGTCATTCTACTTGGCCTAAGTGCCACCACGAATGGCCTCTCGCTGTCTAGCCTTGATTAGCCTTCATGTCCTCACAGCTGAGCCACAGTCGCTGTATGAGGGAGGAGGGTGTGGGTTCACTAGGTCTGGGGTGCTTCAGGTGTGGTGCTCCAAGCAGAGGGGCCAATGCCCCTGAAGTGTTCCTGGGGCTGCAGGTTGGAGCTGAGGAATGAGCAGCTTTGTCTGCCCTCTCTAGCTTGTGTGCCCAGCACTGTCTGGTGGGGCTGCCGTCTCTGGGGGACAGGGCTCTTTTTCTCCACCTTGTACCTGGCCCCCATCTAGCGCTGCACCTGGCCGGGGTGGGGCTCTGTATGTCTAACCTAACGTCTTCTCTAATGTTCAAAAGTAAGATATGATAGGGCGCCTGGGTGGCTCAGTTGGTTAAGCGACTGCCTTCGGCTCAGGTCATGATCCTGGAGTCCCGGGATCGAGTCCCGCATCGGGCTCCCTGCTCGGCAGGGAGTCTGCTTCTCCCTCTGACCTTGCCCCCCTCTCATGTTCTCTCTCTCTCTCATTCTCTCTCTCAAATAAATAAATAAAATTAAAAAAAAAAAAAGCTAATTGGTTAAATGCTTTCCACACAAAAATATTTAAAAAAAAAAAAAGTAAGATATGATAGAGATCACAAAGAACTTTAACTTCCTAATTTATTGTCTGAAATTTCACCATGAACGCGTGTGTGTTTTATGTCTAAATGTGTGGAATTGCCAACATGTGATTGCCTTTGGCTTACTAGGCAGTGGCTCAGGTTGGTCACCTGCTCTCCCATCCGGCATCCACAGCCTGTGTGCTCGGGAAAGTCGGCATCCCCACCTTGTAGGTGACCCAGCAGGAGGCTGATCACAACTGGCACCCAGGCCTGTGCAGGACACATTGTGGTGGCTTTGGCTGGGCACAGCTGAGTCTGAGGGCCAGAAGGGCCACAGGCCATGCACTCCTGGGTCAGTGCAAAGGGGCTTCGACCCGGGCAAAGGTCCATGAGCCGTCCATGCTGCTTCTGAGGCCCACGGCCAAGCAGAGTGACGAAGTTTGGAGAGTGCACACCCCTTCACCTGACCAAGACCTGACAGCTCTGCCCATGGCGCCAAGCCGGTTCCACAGCCCAGCTCGGATTCCTTTGTGGCTGGGATGTGTCACCGCCCCTGGGGCCCTGAACAGCCGAGCTCAGCCAGCCAGTTTAGTGAAGAGCCGGCTCCTCACGTCCGGCCTCCTTGCTGCTAAAGGTGATCCTCAGGACTTTTTGTTTTAAATAGGTGATTGGCCAAGAGGATCTTGTAAACGGTGAAAAGATTCAGTAAGATTTGCTTGATTTTTAATTTTAGGGACCTTTGTTGCCATAGTTGTTTTATATAGCCTTTCAGAAGTCACTTTAGGATAGTTTTGCTTTCAGTTTTGAGGTTGCAGAAATTAAGTTTATAGCGCAAATGAGCACAGTTGGGAGAGTTTGGGGGCTGGTGTGCCCTACACTCCCGTTGTTAGCAAGGTGTGACTGAAACACTGTGACCAAAGCAGCCGTACCGACTCATGAGCCACGCACGTGACCTGGGCAGATGATGAAGCTCACAGACGGTGTTGTGAGTGACCCCTCCCCTTGTAGAAACGCCTGGAAAGGGTGAGTGATGCTCAGTAACTAGATGACGTCAGACACCACGCCTCTTGGTGGTTTGTGTCATGGTTTTGGAGGTTTTTATCGGGGCTAGCACACGGTCCCGGGCCTGAGAGACATGCCTCCGAGGATGTGGTGCGCCTGTCCTCTCAAGGGAAAGCGTGCTCCTGGTGTGAACGCTCCTTTGCCCTCACAGGCACATCCAGGACCCTGCCAGCCAGCGGTTGACGTGGAACAAGTCCCCAAAGAGTGTTCTTGTCATCAAGAAGATCCGGGATGCCAGCTTGCTGCAGCCCTTCAAGGAGCTCTGTGTGTACCTGATGGAGGCGAGTGAACCAGGTTGGGGGCTGGCAACCCAGAACTCCCCTCTGCACCCCCACCGTGTCTGTGTCAGCCGGATTCCACCCTGGAGCTCGGGGGGTTCCGTGTGCTCCTGGGCCATGTGGCGGGGGCAGGCGCGGAGCTGGCCTCCTAGCCAGGTTCTGGGTTTGTGATCTCAGAGCTGACCAAGTCAAGAAGCCAATTTCAGGCAAGTGACTTCCATAACTGAGGGTCACACAGCCTCCAGAAGGATAGAAATCTGTGCATGAGCAGGTCAAAAGCAGTCTGACAGCCAGGACTAAGGAATCCCTTTTCCCCTCATCATAAAGTGCTACGGCTTAAAAGGAGGCTTCATGGAAGACCAGCAGGATCTGAACTGGGTCTTGCGGAGCTGACGTGCTTGTCTCCCTTCCAGGAGAATAACATGATTGTGTATGTGGAGAAGAAAGTTCTAGAAGACCCTGCCATAGTGAGCGATGACAACTTTGGACCAGTGAAGAAGAAGTTCTGCACTTTCAGAGAAGGTGAGTTTGTCTTCGGCTCTGTCATGCGGCGGGTTGGCATCACTGCCCTGGACCTGGCAGAAGCTTCTAGCATTCCTGCCCCATCGTGGGCAGGGTGCCCTATGGCGTCAAGGGCTGCCGAGACACCTTTTCTTATGTTTGTTCTGTTTTCTAGATTATGATGACATTTCCAATCAGATCGATTTCATCATATGCCTGGGAGGAGATGGGACCCTGCTCTATGCATCCTCACTGTTCCAGGTGAGGTCTTCAGGGGGTTCTGGCCTTGGCACTGTGTGAGGAGGTGCTTCCCCAGTGAGGTTTTCCATCCCTTCTAGTACCTCATGACTTTATGCCATGGGGATGCCGAGTTCTACGGTCTTCTTACTCTGATATTGGCCATAGAGCAGGTTTGTAAATAATGCCAAATGGTGCATCTGCTTTGTTAGGGTCTCCGTCCTCACGGGGACTGCTACTGACGTGGAGCCTGGGCTGGGCAGCAGAGTGACTGGGAAAAAGGGGGGCAGTGGTGGAGAAACTGTCCTGGGGGGGCTGCTGCAGATCCACAGACGCATGGCACCCATGAGGAGAAGCGGGCACCTCGTGGCCGAGGGGACGGGGCCCACAGCAGGATGAAGGCGGCGGCTCCAGGCTGACCCTCCAGGGCACCCAGGAGGCCTGTGGAGGCGCCAGAGTGCGGGAGTTTGCCTGGGAGCCCGCTGGGACCCCCCGAAGCCCGCCTTCACGCTGCACAAGGCGGGAGGCTCTGGCGTGAAGGCTTGCGTCCTTCCCTGTCCAGCTCTCTCCTGTCCTCCGTGGTCAGCAGGCTGGCTGGTCCTGTTCCACTGGTTTTTCATCAGCTCCTCCCGGCCTCCCTGACTGCTCACTGACCTCCCATGTGATCACTTGGAATCAGCCTGCCGGCCCACCCCCCAACCCCCAGCACTGACCGAGCACTCATGTGCCTGTCCCTTCCCAAGGACAGTTGGGGGGTGGGTCTGTCGGTGCTGGGGACAACTGGGGTGGCCTTTGAGTGGATTGGCTAGCTGACTGACCTGCCTCCTTGGCTCATAGGGCAGCGTGCCTCCAGTTATGGCATTCCATCTGGGTTCCCTGGGCTTCCTGACCCCCTTCAACTTTGAGAACTTTCAGTCCCAAGTTACTCAGGTGATACAGGGTAAGTCGGAATGTTCTGGAACTCACAAGGAGTTCTGAACATGGGATTGTCTTCTCACTTGGTTTTTGGGGTTTTTAATGATGTGTAGAGCAATATTTAAGTGTTTCAAGATTCGGAGATGCAAGATTTTTGAACAGTTCACTTTTTCTTCACATTGAGAAGTTTGAGGAGGTTACATGCTGAAACTGCTGTGTGTGCTGGTTGGTAGTGGTGAATTGGCTTTCGCAGAAGGCCGAGAGGTGCTGTCCTCAATTTGGGAGAGGAAGGGTGCTCCCTGGTGGAGCAGGGGTGTCTGCTTCCTGCAGGGTGCTGCCAACCCCTCCCTGCTAACTTCCCTGCGTACAACCCCTGCTGGCTCCCAGGGAACGCAGCTGTTGTTCTTCGGAGCCGGCTCAAGGTCAGGGTCGTGAAGGAACTCAGAGGGAAGAAGATGGTGGTGCCCAACGGGATCAGCGAGAATGGCATGCTGGCTGCGGACCTGGATGCAGAGGTTGGGAAGCAGGTCATGCAGTACCAGGTCTGTGGATGTGTGCCCTGCCTGTCATATGGCCTCAGGAAGAGGCACAGGGTGGAGGGACTCTGGGCTGGACCCAGTGGGGGCCCCCTGACCTCAGGACCTTCCCGAGAGCCCAGGAGCAGTGTAGGTGCCTATGGGGCAAACCCCTCCCGCAGGACAGCCCTGCGTGGCCCCTCCCAGGGTGCAGTGACCTTGTCCCCCCAGGTCCTGAACGAGGTGGTGATCGACAGAGGCCCCTCCTCATATCTGTCCAATGTGGATGTCTACCTGGACGGGCACCTCATCACCACGGTGCAGGGTGACGGTAGGTGGGCGCCTGGGGTCCGCAGGGCGGGGGTGGGGCAGAGCCCACAGAGAGTGACACTGCAGCCTGTCCATCAGGGGTGATCGTCTCTACCCCGACGGGCAGCACAGCGTACGCGGCCGCCGCCGGGGCCTCCATGATCCACCCCAACGTGCCGGCCATCATGATCACGCCCATCTGCCCGCACTCGCTGTCCTTCCGGCCTATCGTGGTCCCCGCGGGGGTCGAGCTGAAGGTCAGAGTCCACCCTGTACCCTTTCTGCTTTAAGCTGTTGCCTGGGGCCTGCCATGCTAACCACCCCCTTTATCCCCAGCTGTGAGCCCAGCACCGTGCTGGATGCTGGAAGGGGCTTCACGCTCATCCTTGTCTGTCTGCTCGGCGGGGGCAGCGCTGAGAGCCGGGCCAGCCCCTCCAGCTGGGCTGTGGGCCCTTGGGGGGTGGGGTAGTCCCCACTGGATGGGGGCAGGGTGAAGCGGCACCCTGTGAGGAGCAGTGTCCATCCTGGCGTGTGGCCCATGTCCTGCTCCTCCACCTCTGTCCTTTGCCTGCCTCGCACTCCCTGCTTTGGTCCACCCTAGGCCAGTGGGCAGGGTGTGGCTGTGAGCCCTGGTAGGTAGGGCCACATCTGCAGGTCACAGGGAGAGAGGGCTGGAGCCAGACCCCTGGCTGGTGGCCCTGGCCCTGGGTGGATGGTCAGCAACTTGGCCTGATTGGCCTGCCCATCTTATTTCCCAGGGTTGGTTTTGGCGAGACCTAAGTTAAGGCCTTCATGTCCTGGAACTGGCCTTGGCCTAGAGTGGGTGGTAGGGATACCCTAGGGTCCTCCTGGCCAGTGCTGCCCTCCCAAGGCGGGGGTCCAAGGTGCTCAGCTGCACTCAGGAGCCTGCATCTGTCCTGCTTGACCCCCTCCAGATCATGCTGTCACCGGAAGCGAGGAACACTGTATGGGTGTCCTTTGATGGACGAAGGAGACAGGAGATCTGCCATGGAGACAGGTGTGTGAGCCTCGGGGCCGGAGCGAGGAGTAGGTGTGAGGGGTATGCTTGCCTTCATACCCCTGTTGAGGTTGGCTTGTGCAGGCCCCACAGGCAGAGCTCTGTGACTGAGAGCTGCCGGGGGGGCGGGGGGAGACGCGAGCCTGTCGGGCAGCTGGTCACCCACGCAGGTGGCAGCCTGTTGCCGCATGTTGTGCTGTACTTGGGGGGCGGCGGTGACAGATCCACAGCCCCTCACCTCGGCCTGCCCTGGTGTCCCTGCCGGCTACACCTGTCCTTAGGGTGAGATGGGCCCCGGGCTGTGCAGCAAGTGGCACCAGCAGAACTGAGGTGATCCCCAGCTGGGCTGGGGTGGGCATGGCCCCTGGGGACGGGTCTTGGCCTGATGCTGTGGGCTCACCTGTGCTGTGCTTGTCTCCCCCCTGCCTCAGCATCAGCATCACTACCTCTTGCTACCCACTCCCCTCCATCTGCGTCCGAGACCCCGTGAGCGACTGGTTTGAGAGCCTGGCGCAGTGTCTGCACTGGAACGTGCGGAAGAAGCAGGCGCACTTCACGGAGGAGGAGGAGGAGGAGGAGCTCCTGCCGTCCACACTCGGGACTCCAGAGCCCCAAGGCTGCTCCGCTGCCTCGTTCCCACTTGGCTTCCGGGAGCCGGCTGACCTGAGCACGTGTGCTGTGAGCCCCGAGTCAGGCGTCAGAAGTCACAGCACTTTTGTCTGTAGCCAGGGGAAGAGCCGGGAATCTGCCTTTTGTCGACCAGATCAGCCATTTTTAACATTTTAAATCTGACTTCTTTTTTGCATTTCTAAATAAGAAAAGTGAGTGCTGGTGGGGCCACCTAAGTCCACACTGTGTGCCTGTGCTGTCGCTCAGAGCCTGGTCCCAGGGCAGGGACGCCAGAGCTGGATGTGCGCTTTGTGACTCCTTGTCAGGCAACCTGTGCTTCAATCAGTCTCTTGAAATTCAGAGGGGATCAGAATGGATTGATTTGTCTTTCCGTGTTGAAAATAAATGTCTTGTAGTCAAAACTGTTCCTTTAGCTACCACGATTTTCCCCTTAAATCCTGCACCTTTTCCCCTAAAAGGACTCGGAGGGGACGCTTCAGCAGAGAGCAGTCTGCTGTTTGATTGGCTGATGGGTCCCCTCTCCCTCCTGCTCGGCACCTGCACCTCATCCGGGCACACCTTCCTGCCTTGGGCCCAAGGTACCCCCCCGCCCTGCTGTGGTGTGACGGGTGCCGGCAGGGCTCCACGCTATGGCCCCCGCAAGCCCAGTGGTGGCCTGGTAGGAGGTCAGGCCCATGCACATTCCTCATGAAGCAGGGACGGCCCCCTCTGTGCCCTGGAAGGTATTTTAAATCCTGTGTATACCTTGTAGAGATTATTTTAAGCTTTCTGAACTGCTTATATACAGATTTTATTGTACACACTTTGAAGATTTCAGAGGGAACGGGATTTGTACTGTTGTGAAATGGAGCCTTGCTCCAATGTTTACACGTGTTCTGTGTGGCACTGTGTGCTGGGACCACTGTTCAGCATGCTCACCGTGGGGGTGACGGTCCACGGAGAGAGAGGGTGCTTCTCGGTTAACAAGCTGTGGTACTTTGTGACTGCAACTAGAAGATGGGGACATATTGGTCAGTGAGGAAAGAGGTGGTTGGGGACGTTTTTTGTCGGTTCTGCTCTTCTCCCCGTGGGTCTTGGGCTTGCGAGGAAACTCCCATCATTCCAGTGGTCGCTCCTCGGCCAGCTGGCCGCGTGGGGCGTGCGGCGTGGGCACATGTGCTTGCCACGTGGGACCCAGAGCCCATGTGGTCTGGTGGGAGTCGTGGCTCAGTGCATGTGGCTTCGGCCCCTGGTTATTGTTCCCTGACAGATGTCCTACACTCGGGCATCTGTTCTGAATAACTGATTTCTCTTTGAGCTGCATTTTTAATTTGTTGAATTGGCAAGAACAGAAGGGACAGAAGCTGCCCTTTCTTGGACCCACTTCTGGAGTGACAGGGACGGGCCTGTGCTTTGCCTCGTGGAGGGTCACGTGCCTCATTCTTGGGCTGATGGAAAGGCTCTGGGGCCACACATGCACCGCCCTCAGCTAGTGGCCTCCATAGAGCAGGCTCTGCAGCCTGAGCGTGGTCTCCCATGTCCGTGTTTCAGCGCCTCTGGCCCTCAGTGTGGTGCTTGGCCGATGGCCTGGAGTTGGAAAGGGAGGTGGGCCCTTGTTGCCATCCGCCAGGGGCGGGGCACGGTTCAAGGCTCGTTGCCCAGCCTCCCTTGGGCTGAGAGGGGGTCGAACCAAAACTCCCAGCTTTAGGTCCAAAAGACAGTGGCATTTGGGATTTGGGTCACTGGTTTAGACAAAAAAGCAAGTATTAACCAAGTCCGAAAGCAGCATGATTTGGAATGATCTAGAAAACTTCTGATTTTTTGAAGTAAATTCTTAATGTTTCATATTGTTGATATCTTGAAAATTTGTTAGATGTTGTTGAAAGCCTTATTACAATATTTTCAGATCCTTTCAATAAACAGACTTGTTTAAAAAGTTGGATTGGTTGACAACTTTATTTGGTTCTTTGTAACCAACACAGATGCTCAGAGAGGTGGGCCAGAGCTTCTGGAGTCTGTGGACACCCTGAGCACGCCGTTGGCATGCACGCAGGAGAGGGGGCCTGCCCAGACAGCCTCCACGTGGAATCCCATCCCAGGTGCCCCCGTCAGCCTTGCCATTGGCACCGGTAGGCCTGGGGCTCAGCAGCTGGCCTCCCCAAAAGGGGTGCAGAACTGGGTATCACCACCTGTCCTGCAGGGTAGAGCAGAGGCTTGGGAGGGAGCAGGCTTGAGCCTACAGAAAGGACACGCTCCCAGGTAAATCAGAGGGCTGGGCCAAGGGGACCCCTGGAGGGGCTCTGGGAGACCTATAGCCCCCAGAGGCTTCGAAGTCCTCACCACAGCTCAGTCCAGGCCTGTTGGGGTCATGGGTCATGGGTCAGGCCCTGGTGCACACTCATTTCTCTCCTCCCCTGCTCCCTTCTCCGGTTCCACATGGTCTTGACCAGGTCTCGGTGAATGTGGGGCAAGGCTTTGCCAGGGGCCAAAGTGAGCACTGCAGACACGCAAGAGAACACGGACAGCCCTGTGTGCTGGGACGCTGGGTGCCCCCAACCATCCGCAGAGGCCTGAGGCCTAGGGGGAAGGCAGGGAGCAGCTGAGCTCTCCCTCAGCCTCCCTGTCCTTCCTCCCAGGCCAGTCCTAGAGCATCAGCCTCCTGGAGCCGTGTGTGGCCTTGGCCTGCCCTGCCCCAGGAACCCCTGCTCTCCTGGCGCATGTGTGGGAGCAGGCCACCTTACTGCTCAGGTGTCTCAGTGGCCAGGAGGTGTCTGCTGCCCCTGGGCTGGCCTGCTGGGAAATACAGGCACCTGTGGTCAGTTTGCACAGGTGCCACGGGCAGCAGGGTGGGGCAGGCGCCCGACCTCAACCCTGGCATCCGGAGGTTCCCAAGATTCGAGCCGGCAGTGCTTGCGGACCCCAGGCTGGGCCTTGTCCCCTCTGGTGTCAGAGGGCCCACTTTTGAGGGCCAGGGCCAGAACCAGCTAGCCAGAGGGACTGGCTCAATGGTGGGCACTGGCTTTGCCCACAAGGCCACATGTCTCAATAATGGCTTTTGACCTGTGAGCCTTGGACTTTCCTGCTTTGGGGAAAGGAGGAGGGTGGGGCACAGAGGCCACAGGCCAGGGGCCCCAGGACGTCTGAGTGGGCTGTGGGCTCGGGTCTCAGGCCACCCCAAGCTTCCAGTCTTCAGGGCGTTAGCCTTGGAATCCTTTCTGGCCTTTGCTGGCTAGGCTGGAGCAGCACAGGGCCAGAACCCAACCCAGGCCTCTGCCGAGTGCCCCGCCTGGCTGGCCTCCCTTCCTCTCAGGCCAGGCCACGGGCCACGTCACAGCAGTGCTGTCCCAAAGAGCAGTGGCTCCCCTCCTGCCCAGTGGTTACCCCACCTGGAATAGGTACCAGGAACCAGCTAGTCTGCCTGGGGGTGCGGGGGACCCAGAGTGGAGGACCAGTTGGAGGAGCACAGAGAGGGCAGCTGGGGCGGTGGGGGAGGGGAGGGGGGAGGGGAGGGACACGGGAAGAGGCAGGAACTGCACAGTGACTGCACGGAGATAGCCACTTCTGGCACGTTCTCCTTCGGAAAGATCCAGGCCAGAGCTTGGGTGGTTTTCGGAATCATGGAAACACTGAGGATTTGGGAGAAGAGGTGAGGTGGGGTTGAGGATGGGGTGGGGCGGGGCGGGAGAAAGAGAGGGACGGCAGGGTATGTCCCGAGCCGCCTGTAGACCTGCTGGCCAGTGCCCCTCCCGCAAGTGGCCTGGATCAGCTGTGACCCTCCCATTCTGCCCCTCCCATGGAGGCCTCCAGTCAAGGGTGGCCTTCCTCCCCAGCAGCACAGAGAACAAAGGCAGGACTTGACCTCAGCCCATGGCTTCCTGTGAGCACAATGAAGCCAGGCGTGGCCCCTCGCTCACCAGCACTGCTCTCCAGACACTGGCCTGAGATAGTAAGGGACCTGCTCCCTAACCCTGTGGTTTTGCTTCCATGACCTTTAACCCCATGGTGCCCAGAGGCTGAATCCCAGGGACAGAGGCTGCAGGTGCCCCCACCAGGGTCAGGCCAAGGGGTCACACTGTAGGGTGTGGGGTAGGGGTACCCAAAGGGCTCCCAGGAAGGGCTCACGTCCCTGGTTTGGGGACAGGAGCTGTTTTTCCAAACCAGCTGCTGGTCAGTGCTTCCTGACAACCTTGGCAGTGGGCCTGGTAGCACAGGACAGGGGGCCTCATCCTTCTTCCCACCCAACAGAACATGACCCAGGCCCCATTCTCTGGGCTTTGGGGGCTCCTGGGTCCCTGTCCAGACTTCCTTGCTGTCCTCACTGTTGCCTGGGAATGGGGCTCCTCTGGGCCTGCAGACCTCATCATCCCACCCAGGTGGGGCCATCAGACCAGGGCCCACACGCAGATGAAGCCTGGTGAGGGGTGGGTGAGGGCCAGGAAGCCAGGAGGAGGTGCACACAGTGCAACCCAGCCATCTGGGAGGGACCCATGAACTTGCCATGGATGCTTTCCTTCCTGCCTTCCAGAAAATCACCCTTTAAACGTCATCCAAACCCTAGAGGAGAAAGAGATAGTTGTCAGAAGGGGGCCCTAGAGGTGAGAAGACCCCTGTGTCATGGAGGGAGGCAGGGCTTGGGCGGAGGGCCTGACGCCCCAGCTAGAGCTTCGAAGACAGGTTTCAGGGGAACCTCAACCTCAGTCTCTTTGTTGGTCGTGTCTCCTCCTTCACAAGGACTGCATCCTAACCGATTCACGTCTGCACCGGGATCTACGCTGGAACATTGGGTGTGCAACCTTGGGTGTGGGTGTGCGCATCAGCAGAGGCATTATTTAAATGAACCCATTTGAAACTGAGCAGAGTATGGAGAATCCTGGCCAGTCTATATTCTTTCGCCCAAAATTCTGCTTCCTGGAATCCAATCAAAGGAAGAAGTTGGAACTCCAACAAGTCCAGATAAAAACACCTGTGCGGCACCCGTCATGAATGAAACTCAGACATGACCCAATGGTGAAATCACTCACGCCAGCTTAATAAGCAGCAATGTTTCCTTTGAATATTTAGAGACAGGAAGAATTGTTGACGGGCAAAGGGACAGGATACTAACTCTGGAATGTGTCTGCGGAGCAAAGGCCTCCTCAGGCAGTGGCTGAAGGCCTAGGCAGCAAGGCTTGGAAGCCAAATGGAAGGCCAGAAGGGAGGGGAAGGTCCCCAGGCTCACATGACATCGTTTCTTTTTTTTTTTTTTTTAAGATTTTATTTATTGGGCGCCTGGGTGGCTCAGTTGGTTGGGCAACTGCCTTCGGCTCGGGTCATGGTCCTGGAGTCCCGGGATCGGGTCCCGCATCGGGCTCCCTGCTCAGCAGGGAGTCTGCTTCTCCCTCTGGCCCTCCCCCCTCTCATGCTCTCCCTCTCTCTCATTCTCTCTCAAATAAATAAATAAAATCTTTTAAAAAAAAAGATTTTATTTATTCATTTGAGACAGAGAGTCATGACCTGAGCCGAAGGCAGATGCTTAACAATCTGAGCCACCCAGGCGCCCCACATGACATCATTTCAAGACTGTTTCCCCAGATGAAATGGAAGAATGATTTTGCTGTAAAAATGTTGAGTTTTTATAAATTTGCTTTTGGAATTATTTGGCTACAAACGGCTCACAGACCACCAAAACCTAGGACCACCGGGAAGTCATCAAGCATCTCAGGGTTTTGTGCAAAGAAGAAAAATCTACTCTATGAACTTTGTTCAGACGGATGAAGTCCTCCTAAATACTTTAGGGATGATGAAGATGGCACCATACTATGTTGTGAAGTAGGCATGTAAGTAAACACTAATTTCGCTTTTGCTGCTTTCTTCCTGTATTTTTCACCTCCGGCCGGCCCTTGGCCAGCCCTGGGAGCTCGCTGCTCCGCTCGCCTGCCCTGTGGAAGAGCCCAGGAAAGCCCGGCCTGTGGGCACCTTCCACTAACTAGTCTAAAGGAGAAAATGTACTAATTTTAAATCACTGTAAAGAAAAATAAGTAAGAACTAAACGGCACTGTCGTCTTGAAGGAGAGGCCATTAGCCATAACCGTGCTCCTGAAAACTACGTGGGCAGGTACACGGCTGGAGGAGGCAGGCGGTGCAAGCGTGGCCCTCCAGGTGCGGGGCTCCAGGCTCCCCTCGACGCCTCCGAGCCCCCGCTCGTGGCCTCGGGACCCAGGTGTGCGGGACGCTCCTAGGCGGCTAGTTCCACTAGCCAATAATGCTCCCTTCGCCTTTCTCTTCTAAAGTTGGCCTGACTGGACTGGATTTGCTGTCCCTCGAAATCAAAACCTGCGTGGCGGCCCCCAGGGGAATGAGGCCAGCGCCTCCTCAGATTAGCGGGACCCGCCCCCCAACCTGGGCCGCGGCGGGACGGCTCCGGCCAGGGCAGTGGGCGGGGGGGGTGTCGATGTGGCCCGGCACCACCCCCCATCTGGGCCGCGGTGGGACCGCCCGGGGACACCGCCGCCAAGCAGCAGGCCCGCTCCCATTTCCGGCGTGGCAGCAGGGAAGCCCTAGTGCCCAGGACTCCGAGGAGCGGGGCCGCAGGAGCCGCCGTCGGCTCCCGGGTCGTCACTTCCGGCGCGTCGCTTCCGGCCGCCTGGGCGCACCTCCGCCCGAGGCTCGGCCCGCCCCCCGGCCCGGCGGTCGCGCAGAGCGGGGCGGAGGGACGATGGCCGCCCCACGGTGAGGCGCTGCTCGCCTGGCCTCCGCTCCACAAGGGACGGAAGGGTCTTCTCGGGGCTTCCCGGCGCACGCGATACGACCTCTCCTACACGTCAGCCTCGCGCGGAGCCTTCGGGGAGTCGGAGCCCGACCCCCCAGGCCGCGTGCCGGGCGCGCCCCGGCCAGCTGCGGTCGGCCCCGTTTGTTTCCCCGGAGGCCGCTCTCTCCAGCCCGCGGTCCGCAGCCCACCTTAAATGCCGCGCGCCCTTAAGGCCCCGACGTGGGGCGGGGTCGCCGGGTGTCGGGAAGGCGCCGCGCCCCCCACCCGCCCTGCTCTCCCCCTCGGCCCTCCCCAAAGTCGTGCGGCTCAGCTCCGAGTCCCGCTCGTGGGGAGGGCCCTGAGGCGACCCTTGCCGCCGACGCAGAGCCAGCCCCTGGGTGGGCGCCCTGTCCGCGGCTGCGAGCGGCCCGCGAGTCAGCGATGCTCGCAGGCGGAGGCCCCGGGAGTCCTCCGCGCCCCCCGGATGCGCACGGAGACCCCGCGCTGGCTATCGTCCCGCGGCCCTGCTGCGACCGGTGGGTGGAGGGGCCGCGGCGTGGGGGAAGGGGCCGCGGGCGAGCCCCGGGCCGGGCCCCCTGCAGAGCAGGGCCTCGGGCGCATAACCCCGAGGCGCGGGGAGGCCGCTTTGGCCCCCGGAAGGCTCCCGCAGCCCTCTAGCTTCCCGGCTCACATCGGGAGAGAATCCTTGATGCCACCTGTCTGGGTCATTAGTCTAAGGGTGGGTGGCCAATTTACCCGGAAAACGCTGAATAAAACAAACGGTAGAGGTTGCCTCCGGTGGTCGCCTGTCCCGCCCCGGACCTAAGCCCGGCCGGCCTGTTCCCGGCCCCCTCCTACGTGAAGCCCCCTGGTCCACCCCCATGGCCTTTGCGCTCGCCGTGCTGCCCGCGTCCCCAGGCTGACCCCTCCTCTGAGAGGCCCCTCGCCTTTCGGCGGGTAGCCTTGGCCGGTGTTCTCCATCTCGCCGGGTACGCCCTCTTCCACGCGCCTGCGCCTCCCACTTTTAGCCCCCGCCTCGCGGGTCCGAAGGCGCGGCCCGCGTGGGGCGCACCCGTGTCCGCCCTTCCTGGCTGCCGGGGCCCAGCGGGGGAGGTGGGGTCAGCATTGGGGGCGCGGGCCGTGTTCTCGGTCCCGGGGCTTCTCGCGTTGTAAGCCCCTGGACCCAGGCGCCCCCGAGGCGGGCACGACCCTGGAGCGGAGCCAGGTAACCAACGCTGCATCCGCCCTGGGGCATAAAGGCACGGTCGCTCAGGAATGTATTGCAATTGATGTGTTTCCTGCCTAGGATTTTGGAAAGCCGTCCATTGTGTAGCGGCTGAGCTCCTGCCGAGTGTTGGTTTTAGCAGACTCTTTGCGAGTTGGGGCTCAGAGCTTCCTTCATTCCGGTTCTCAGATGACTTCTACTGGGTTTGCTGGGCCTTGTCCAGCTGATTCCGTTGCAGTCATCCTGCTAAAGCCTTTGACGCATTGCCCACCGCTGCCGTGAAAGGGGGGAGGGGGGCAAGCCTGTTTAGAGGTGGATTCTTTGTTCAGTGGTTTTTTTTTTAAAGTTTGGGTTTTTTTTAATGGAGTGGGATGTACTTTACCAAAAGTATTTGAACTTGCGAGTAACATTTTAAAGCAGAATGAAAGCGTATTAAACAGAATGGAAAGGGTCATTAAAAGCCGGAATAGAAAGGATTTTAGATGAAAGAAATCCTCTTTCAATGTAAACAAATTAGAAACAGGAGAGAAACAAACCAAGATTTTAATGAACGTGGGACTCCGCCTCCCAGAGTTGCGGGCAGCCCTAACCTGGCATAGATAGGCTCCTCGGGATCGTTTGTGCATTTTAAGTCAGAGCGCATCTTGCAAAGGTCTTATAACTCTGCTCTCACTTAATCTATGACAAATATTTTTTTGTCAAAACTTGGGCTACATTGTGTCACCCTGGTGATGGGCCAGCCTTTATTACACACATACTCCCTATTGGATACTCGGACAGTGTCCAGTTTCTCAGTCTTAAAAACAAAGCTACTGGTCTGTGCTGGTATGTACAGAGGTCCAGCAAGACCTTTGTTAAATTGTTTCTTTAGGATAGATTCCCAGAGGTGGAATTTTTAATTATACTGTGTAAAACTTGTAGACTTCCAGTACATCTCCTAAAATGCCCTGTTGACAATTTGAACCAATCTAGAGTTCCTTACCCAGTGTTTGAGAATATCTTGCGTTGTTTGTTCTAGAACAAGGATTCTTAACCTCAGGCTGTGAGCCTTGGAATTTAGGACTCTGCAAAATTGGCTGGGGAAACATCGACATCTTTATTTTCATCAACCTCCAGCTGAGCTTTTCTTCATGGTGGCAGGAGCAGCACCCATGGCTTCGTCTCCATTTTGGAGCCCAGGGAACCTTTCTGGCTGGCCCTGAGCCCCTCACTGCAGAGTTGAGCAGAGTCCTGACCCCTGTTCAGGACATGTTATGTAGTGGGGCGCTCAAACCAAGTCCAGATGTCCCATGTTTGTTTCTTGAGGTGTTACCACATCTCAGTAGACCTGGTTTCCTTTTAGTCCTGCAGGTGCACATTCTGAGGACAGCTCTGGGCAGGAGAGAAGTCAAGAGCTGCTCCCTGACCTACTCCATGCTGGTCAGAAAGGGTTATGATTTAGTTCTTGTTCTTTGTGCTATATAATCTGAGAGGGAGATAATTCAGACCTTTATCCGCAGTCACCTGGGGGTGCCAGTGCTCCACCTTGTTTCCAAACTACTATTGGCTCTTAAAGCCAATTCTTGTCAGATTAAGGTTGCTGACTTTTAGTTTTTGCAGGACAAGAATTGCTTCCCTCTGAGAGCTCCCTGAATCACGTGGTCTATGAAAGAACAGGCCGTGGAGACACGTGAGCTGGAGTCCAGGAAGGCATCTGTGACCCCACCGGGACTTTGGTGAGTGGGACCTTCTGAGCTCAGGACCAGGTGACCAGTGGCTTTCGTGTGTCATGCCCAGCACAGCCGCTCAGGGTCTTCACTGCATCCTGGCTGGAGTGGGATCTGTTCAAATTTAAACTCCAGGCTCACGATGGATCATAAACATGATTTTATTTCATCCACGTTGAGAAGACCTTCGTGTCACTCACCTCCTTTTGTGTATTGCTGTATGTTCCCCGTTTTTACTGCTCGATGTTGCATCATGTGAACATTCCTGGCTGATGTGTTGGTTCTCCCACGGGCAGACAGCTGGGTTTCTGCTGTGGACATTCTTACGTGTGTCTTCTGGTGCACACAGGCAAGACTTTCTCTAGGGGAAGGTCTCTAGGATGCAGTGGTTCGTGGGATCATGGGGAAGGTGGCCAAATGGTGATTTTCTAATTCTACCCTCCCTTCGACATCAGTCCGTTGACTTTTTAGTGTAAGCAAGAGCTTTCTTCTCTTCCCCATTTATCACTGTGGATGTTTAGGTACTTATTTTGTTCAGTGAGTTCTGATCCTGTGCTGTCCTTACTCACTTTCTCACACTGCCCCTAGATATCTCCAGAGGGTGTTCCCTCGTGTGCTTCTGTGTCCTTTGACCTGTCCTGTCAGTGTTTGAGCACTTCCCTTTCTTTTGGCCCAACTAATGCCCCGGCCCTGAAATCAGCCATTTCTCCGAGGAGGCTGGTTCATTTCAGTGGAGAATGAGATTTAGAAACAAAGACCAGGACAGGGTGCTCACTGCGGATGGGCCCTCAGTGGCCCCTCAGATTATGAAGCAGGTACAGAGATGAGTGTATTGTGGGCAGGTGTGATGTGTGTGCCTCCATCTGTCCACACCTACGAGTGCTGATGCCTGATTCCTCCGCTCATCGCAACAGCACAGTCCACTCCACTGTCCTTCTCTGCATCTGTGCTGTCTCCAGAGGCACACTGCGGTCTCACTCCCAGTGGCCACAGAATAGTCACTGCTCAATCCTGACCCATGAGTCAACAAAAAAGCCCACCATTTAGAGTTCAGTGTTGAGGTTCTATTTGTTTTTAATCTGAGCACGTGTATTTTGCAAACTGTGTTCAGAAGGTATGTGGGTGGGTTGTCTCCTCTCTTCAACGTGACTATGTTATTTATTTGATTTGTGGTTTGGTTCACCTCTTTCCGTTTGTATTGCACTTTAGAGATTATATCGATTTGGTTATTTTTGTTTTATAAGCATGTGGAACATTAATATAATTCCAGAAGTCATAAGTGTCTGAACAGGTGCATTTGAGAACTGTTGTTGCTCTGTTTCCCTCTCTGTGTTCCCTCCCCCACCACCAAACAGTCTCCTTGATTGCTTGATCTTGGGCTTATCCGCCAGCATCTCTTGTTGCCCAGTGTGATTTTATTTATTTATTTGTTTATTTATTTATTTATTTTTAGTCTTCTCTAAATTTATTTATTTTTAGTCACCCAGAGTGGGGCTCAAACCCATGACCCCAAGACCAAGAGCTTCATGTTCCCCAACTAAGCCAGCCCCGTGCTCCTGCTTTCTCTCTTTAAATCACGATTCTTTCCTGTTTTTCTCTGCTGGAACTTTCCTTATTATTTTCTCCATACCTGGATTACTGATTTCACATCTCTTTGCTGCATTCCAGATAATTTCCTCAGATGTTTTTTTCAAATGCAGTAACTTTTATCAGCCCTGTCATTTCTGTGTAACCCATCGATTGAGTTGTTTTGTATTTCAAATTTTCCAAACTTTTCATTTTGAGGAACTTGTAGACCGACAGAAGAAACAACTATACCTGTATGCCCTTCCCCCAGCTCCCTCCGCTGAAGTCTTCCATGGTGCACTCCGCCGGTCTGGGTTCGACCCCACACTGCATTCAGTGGCCGTGTCCCCGTGGTCTTTGCCAGTCCTTGACTTTTGTGACCAGCGTACTTTTGGGTTTGTCTGACATGTTCTTTCGACTAGATTTGCAGTCACGTGTCCATGGCATGAAATCCACAGCAGTGCCATGTTCTTAGCACATGGGATCAGGGCAAACAGGACGTCTCTCTGTCTGTAGTGTTTTCAACTTTGGTCGCTGGGTTGGGGTGATGGCCACCAGTGTCTCCGGGTAAAGTCACGCCTCCCCTTTGTGATGAGTTGGCACCTGTAGGCAAGCGGTTTGGATGCAATCACATCGTTGTTTCAGCTCAGCATTCAGGTGACTCATCTCTGGACATTTATCCCTGATGGTGTCTTGGGCTTGTTCACCTGCATGACTGTCCTATCAACCTGCCACACTTGGGCCCTGTCCCTCCCTGGAGCTGCCAGGCAGCTGCTCCTTCCCCATCGGCCACCCCTCTCCTCGGATAATCTTTGATCTTTGACCCACATCCATTGATCTTCAGCTGCAAAGGTCTTCTGGCCTGAATTACGCAAGATTTTCTCCAGAGCCAATTGCTTCTGGCACCAGTGGCTGTGGGTGTGGCTGGGAGCCGGACCCAGATAGCTGGTCCAGGTTCATGGCCCACCCGCCCCAAGCACCCCCGGCTGCTTTTTGCGGGGTCCTGTCCTGAGTTAGAGCTTCCTGGGAGCCTCTGGTGAGATTTTGCTTCTGCTGTCCAGCTCTTGATTTCCAAGGGTCCTTGTCTGGTGGCATCTCCTTGTGGCCGGGTGCTTCAGCTCTCTGGTATCCCCCCTTCCTGGGACCTGCTGCCTCCTGCTGTGCACTTCTTCCAGCCCCTTCCTCTAATTTCTCGTCTTACTTTTCTCCCATCTTAATTCTCTGTCCAAGCCTCTCCTTGGGGCCCTTATTTCCATACTCAAGCTCTGTCCTTTGCCTGTTGAATTCTCCAGAGAAGAGCCATCTGGTCTCCCGCCTGGGGGGGTGCAGCTGCCTGGCCGCTCTGTGATCCTCAGCCCCCGCATTCCCTGCAGGCCGAGACCTATTTCAGTCCCCCACCCTGGGCCCCTGGAACCCGGGAGGAGTCTGAGTGCGGTCACTCTCCTGGCCAAGCCCCTTGACATTCTTTTTTTTTTTAAAGATTTTATTTATTTATTTGACAGAGAGAGAGACAGCGAGAGAGGGAACACAAGCAGGGGGAGCGGGAGAGGGAGAAGCAGGCCCCCCGCCGAGCAGGGAGCCCGATGCGGGGCTCGATCCCAGGACCCTGGGATCATGACCTGAGCCGAAGGCAGATGCTCAACAGCTGAGCCCCCCACAGGCGCCCCCGCCCCTTG